TATATTATCGATACCGCATTTTTTGTTGAATGGGATCTGCAAAATGAATTTGGCTGTTTTTTTTTTTTCTGGAATGCAGAATTTAGGAACAAGTCTCTGTGGAGAATTTAGAGTTGCTAAAAACTATACATAATTTTGTTATTCAGTCGTTTCATAAATATTTGATCAACTGCTTCCACAGTGTGGCTCTCCAACTGTAAACTTCCCCAGTTGCTTGCTTTGACCAGTGTTGCTCCGCCTAGTAGTGGGAATGCTAGCGATCTTGACTTTCACTGAAAATACTACCAGAATAATTTTTCTTCTGACACAAGCCCAAAGCAAGTTTTTAGCCTTTGAGACAAAATCTCAAAAGCTATACCAAAAACAAAACCGGTGTAATTTCAGCTTTCAGAAAAATGGAAATTTTGCGGAAGAAAACTAACGGTAAAAAAAAATGGAAATTTTACGGAAGAAAACTAACGGTAAAAACGTCCTCCGAGCCATATTTGTTGATCACGGGATATAAATTCATATCAACAATTTTGCCACCATCACGTGGCATCTGTGGTACTGCTTCGTTTCGTAACCGAACCGAAAATCGTAACTTTATCGGATTTATCCAATCGCTATTCTTGTTCTGAAATCATACCATTATCATGATGGCCATAAAAATTTCTCAGTAGTACCAGTTTTATGTCCTCATTGTGATTAAGACATCTTTTAACCACTGTACTCATCTCTTTGGCTATCAAATCACAGTGGTCCACAAAACACATTTTTAATCAATGCAATTCAACTGTGCGATAAAAATAGTGATTGCTCTTTCGACTAGCAAACGGCGAAATTCGAATAAAATTCTTGCACCATAACGTATGGTGTGGATTAATTAGCTTAAGCCTAATTTTAAGGCAGTACTACGAGCTCCAAAAAAAAATTATGGATCTTAGCAGTCCCAGTTATTTATAGCATATTCACTTGCCTGCACACAAAAAATGAAATACTATACATGTAAATATAAAATAAGATTTTCATAAAATAAATTTTCATAAAAATTTTTTAAAATAAAGTATTTTAAAAGGCATGACGCAGCGACAGATAAACGCTTCCTTCCTGTTGAAGGGCAAAAAATCGAGTTCGCTAATGGGACAACCATTTTCTTTACGATTCTTTTATTTCTTTCGATGATAAATTGATACTGACGTATGCC